GTAATTATTTTAAAAACATAATGAAACTTTAAAAAGTTGACACTAGAAGGAACTACAGATTACAACTTAAGGAGAAAATTCAGACTCAACATATAAATACAAAATGAAGCAAAATACTTTAACATTGGACACACTAAAAAGATTTTTGAACAATGGACCCAGAATTTAATTTTAAGACTTTCTGCCTTATAGATAGACTCTGTTTAAAATATGATGTAGAAGTTTTACCTGACAAGATTGAGACTGATTTGAAAATGGATTTAAAATTGAAAGGCAGAAAGAAATATATGGAAAAAATATTACACTGGGAGTACAAAAGAAACTGACTGATGTCACAATAATTAAAAAAGATATTCAAATAGCAAAACGATAGTGTGACCTGAATAAGTTTCCTACATTGGATTTACAAAAATAGGTTTCTTAAAGCTTTGAAGAATTTTGTGAGAAGAGATGAAGAAAAAATGAAAATAAATCAATTTCTAGGAAATTACTTGAAGGGAATAAAGATCAAGAAACTTAAAGTAAAGGAAGGAATATAAAGTTGGTCTATCTGATCAAGGTTAAAATAAATATATTGTTATCTGTCGTAACCCTTAAAGGACTTCTGCTGACATTAGGATTGAAAGGATGAGGCTTTATGGATTTTATAGATGAGAGATAGAATATGGCAAGAAGAGATCACTAGTTGCATTATAAGATAAGTTACTAAAGTTACTTAAATTTACTAAAGTTACTAAAATTGAATATATTGTGATGAAGGGAAAATATATAAAGAAATATAAAAATATATATCTTTATATATTTCTTTTCTTTATTTCATTCTTTTCTCCTATTTTTTCTTTTTCATTTTCTGCATCTTCTATTGTTCTTCATATTCATTTTTAGTTTGTATTAGTTTTTGTTGTAATTGTAATTTTTAGTAAAATTATTATTAAAAAGAAGTAAGGTGTTTCAATAGCACATAATGTTCTATTCTGTTATATTAATCAGTCCCTTTATTTCTTTCCTTAATTTTATATTCCTTTATTTAGCATTAAATTTTTTAGCAAGTAGTCATCAAGGATTTTTTCCTGCCCTATGTATGCAACCCTACAGGCTACATACTATGCATGATACTTTTCTGCAATCAAGCAAATTGACTTTTAATTAATAACAGAAATTTGTTCAACCCAGACTGAATGTGAACTTGCTGAAGTATTATAGTTAGATGTTATCATGCATACAGATTGCAAATTATCATGCCACTGAAAATGTTTGTGAACTGTCATATGATCCTTTTCTTGAAAAATGTCATTGGCACAATTAGTTTTTCCTTAAAGCTAGAATATTAATTTGATAACTTTATTTTGGTACATACAAAGTACTATTTTGTGTTGAGAACCTTGCTTTACAAGTCCAAAGATTATTCTAATTGAGAATCGGTTTGAAGAACTTTCATATCTGATAATTCAAGACTAGACATTATGGAAAAGAAAATAGGAAAAATTAATTTAATTTCGATTTTTTTTTTGAAAATTTCTCCTACTGTGAATGTTTTGTTGAATTTTCATCCATGCACAAAACCTTTCTTCTTTGATGTATTTCCCTCCATTTTGATACATTCTTTATCTTTCTCAAAAGAGAAACACGCAAAAGGATTTTTGTATTCAAAACATTCTGATTTCAAAAGATCATGTTTTGCTCTATCTCTATTGAAAAATTGAATCCCAGCAATAGTAATAACATTGCTTTGATACAGAATGGGCACAGAGAATTTGAAATGATATTTGTGGTACTGTTATTTTAATTACATCTAAAATAAATTTAAAATACTTTTGTCCTAACTTAAAGTGTGGCTCTAGCATCCCACCATCTTAGAATCCAAAACTGATATTCTACTAGCTTCCAGCTACAATATTGGCATATTTGTTATTCTCTTAAAAATATCAATAAAATGTTTTTCCAAAAACATGAAATGCTAAATTGTTATGTGTATGAGTCTCAAATAAATGTATGTACAACCATTTTCTATAAATGATTTTTAAAACATTGCATTGAACTATTTGGGAAAGTACGATTGTTGTGTTGTAAACCTTCCAATATGGATAGAATGGCATCTAAAACTATAGCCTGCATCTAATTCGCCCACATATTATCTTTTACCTTGTGGTGTATAATATACATTTTCTGAAATTCAAGTCAAATACATAAGAAGCCATTTAAACTACATCAGTTTATTTATTTTTTCTGCCAGGATAACTACACTGATATCTCTACAAATGTACAGCCTGGTTTTCAATAAATCTCTTCCTCTTTCACAGAACCAACTGCCAGTCAGTTCCTGTTGCCTTTATTATTATTTTTTACAGAGGGTAAGTCTATTTCCCCGCCCTCCCTCAGACACTTTCCTTTCTAGAATCAATGATCTGGTGATAGCTGCTTTAAACAGTAAACTTCCAGATGGGGTTGACTATAATGAGCAAATCTTCAGTAGCATATTTACATTTGATTGACAGAATCTAGCATTAATTCATCTATCTCTCATAAAGATGCTGAAGCTTTTATTCAATTTGACAACCAAGTGGAAATCAATGAGACTGAAGAATGCTTAGAGAAATAGCATAATTTATATGAGAGTGAATCGGTTTATTTTTATAGTATATGTCCATGCCATTAAAGAAATCAAAAGGATTCCACATATGTTTCATATAAACATGCATAAAGAATTTTTAAACTTCACGGTCACAATGAAGCACAGAATTAGACTTACATAATCAATTTAACAAGCATAACCAATTCAGGGTTGGATTATGATCAATAGATACAATTAACTCTCTCATACTATTAAGATTGGCAATAGATTTCCCTTGTCAATTAAAATCCTATCTGTAAGTATGTATAATTGCACTTACCAGTGTTTATCAACTGTCTTTCCTTCTTCAGCTATTGTTATCAAAATGTTGAGTATTATCTTCAAAGATATGGGGTTTTTTTGGCTGATGAAACTCTTTTAAAATATTATGCATTTTCCCAGTTTAGAACAACTCACCAACATATGGCTACATAACATATACAGAAAATAGACTGATCATACTTTGCCCTACTTTAATAACATAGATTTTCAGTTTCAACATTAAGAAACAGAAAGGAGAAAATGTGCTTGCCTCACAATACAGCTTCGTTCAAACATAACTATGACTTTATTTGCATGAAAGGATAAGTTATAAAATTCAGTTAATGGAATATCATACCACTAAGCCCCAGGGGTGGGATTCCACTGGTATAACAACCAGTTCGGTGATTGCACGCACACACGCCAAACATGCATTCCGTGTCCCTGTGAATAAAACAGCCGAGGTGTGGCAAACCGCTCTGCCGCATGAATCAGCTGTGCTCTAACAAAAGGAAATAAAGCACAGGAAAGAGCAGGGGCGGGTGGGCCCACATGCTCGTCGCAGCAAACCAGTTCGCTGCCTGCGGATCTTTGGAGCAAGGGGTTCACCCAAATTGGTATGAACCGGTAGAATCCGACCCCTGCTAAGCCCCCTCTACACCCATATTACCTATTCCCACTTTACCTATTCCCCAGTAGGGATGTGGCATCCCTACTTTTGAGAGACCTGAAATGGAATTTGTAACCTAGGATAAAGCCTAGGGACAAAGTCTAGTGTTTGGAACTATCCATTTCACTACGGATGATATGATACGTTGGAGACTTCACTTAAAAAGCTAGGTTGTGTGTAATGGTAGTCTGTGCTTGTTAACAGACATTTATAGCTTAACGCATCCTGAAAACATAGTCCATATGTTATATTGTACACAACAAAAGCAGCTGATCCTAGGCTTTCAGCTGTTACCTGAGGAAAAATCTGTGAGCTATGTCCACAGGATGCATTTTTTTATGGTTTGCATAACACATTTGGCTAAATTTGTATAACTCAGCCCAAAAGATCATATTCTGACTTAGAGTTTTATACACAAAGTCATAGATCACTAGTTAGGAAGAGGTATCCTTACTTAGGAAGAGGTGTCCTTACTTCTTTCTTCCCAGTGTAGATGTGTACACGATTGCAATTCACTTCCACATAAAGTTACGAGGTTGCAGAGACAAAGTTACATCCAAGGCAACAGAGGAGGGATTTTAATGTTTTTGTTTATGACGTATACATAGTGGTGAAAGGATTCACCCAGGGGTACCTTTGCCATACAGGAGGGTTTCTATTATATTGTTGAGACAATATAGCAGTAATGGGAATACTCTTTATATTTGCCTGGAGGCTGGGTGATGCTACAAGGTATTCTAAGTCGTAGTGGGAAAATGCCCCACAAGCAAAGTCATGGTTTCCTTAATGTCCAGAACTAAGTCATAATTCATGATTTACAAGACACAGGGTCTGGGTTCATACATTAACCCAAACCCAGACTAGCAGTATATCTAGTTAGATACATAAACCACAGTACAGTTTAGTGTTATGTGTGTGAGCCGCAAAGATTTCAAGTGCAAAATTTATTAAACTTCACACTTTGCAGCCATTGACAGACTACAGTCCTATCTCACCCAATAAAATCTCAGCAACTACTGTCTTTTAGGGTGTATCCCAAAGGTGCTTTTTTCACGAGGAAACGGGACTTTCTAAGGGGGTTTTCTTTGAAGATCTTTCCTTCTCATCCAAGAGCTGAAGAAGCTTCTTGGCTGAGAAGAAAAACGTCTTCAAAGAAAAACCAGAAAGTCCAGTTGTCCTCTTGGGGAGAAAAAAAAAAAAGCACCTTTGGGACAACCTTGACCTGGATGACTGAGACTTTCCATCAACTTTGAGGGTGTGTGTTTTAGTTTATGATTACCTGAAATAAAGCGGGTGGGGCAGGGCGGGTACGCCTTTCTCTTTCGCTGGCTAAATGAACTCAGGTCGTCATACTCAAAGGAAATGCGGGACTTAAGCTCGCCCAGTGTAATTTCGCCGAGCGTCAGGGGCTCACCAGGCACAGGAAACGGGCACCGTCGGGGCGCGTTGACTACTCACCGACGGTGGTGATATAGGAAGACGATGGCGCGCGGCCGGTGGTGCAAAAGTCGGTGTATCGCCTGAGGATAGAGGTTTTCCCCACGAAGGAGTCACCCACCATCACTATCTTGGCCAAGCACGTTTTGGGCGCCTCGCAGCCTGTCCCCTCCGCCATGGCCCACCAGCAGGCGTCTATCAAAGCTGGCTTAGCCGGAGTCGCTGGATTCCTTATTAGCTTTGGCGCGACTGGCGCCCAAAGCGTCGGCCCGTTTGGCGTCTGTTGCTGCTCCTCTTCCGTCGCTGGGCTCCGCTCTTTTCTCAGAGTTTGGGTTTTAAAGGACTGTTCCGGTTTCCGAGGCGCTTCTTTTGTCTAAATGCCGGGCGGGCGAGCTGACGAAGTTCCTTCCCTTTTCTGCTCGGCGGGCTCTCGGCACCTTCCTTGCCTTTTCCCAGCAGAGCCCTTAGAAGAGCAGCTGCAGGTTGGCCATTCCACAAAGGCCACCGGAGAAGTTCCTTCACCCCTTCCATTGGGGAGCTGCAGGAACTGGCTGGTTGTGATCGAGCTATCATTATAAGCACCTGAAACCTGGCAAAAAGAAGAGCAGGGCGAGATTGTCTTTTAGGATTGATACTATAGTTGCTTGGCATCACCAAATCTGTGTTGGCTTTCCCCACTTGATGGGGTGAGATGCATTGGGACTCCAAAGAGACTAAAGTGCATTGATTTCCTTGAAAAAGTTTCTGCAGTTAGTGAAACATAAATATTAATGTATATCATCTTTAATTATTCTGACCCTGATGGGTTTTTTTTCTTTTTTGTCTGTCATGGTAGGGAAAAGCTGGAGGCACTTTTCATTTTCATTACATGTGCCAACAGTGATCTTGTTGAGGAAATTCTGAAAAAAACGAATCTATAGGTGCATAACCAGCATGAATTTTTTTTTTTTACAAAATCAAATATTTATGTTGTGTTTTGCCAAAGGAACAACAGCTACAAGGGGACTGACACAATATAATTAATCTTACACAAATATGTATTTAAACTGTGGCATCGATAAAATGCAGAACAATCTCAATTTTAAAATTCCATACCAGCACCAGTTGGGAAAGGAAGTTGCCTTGGCACACGTCTTGATAACTGGGCTTGAGAGCAGAATGGGGAAGAATAACTCTCCTCCTCTCAAATTACAGAGTTCAGATTCTATTTCTTCTATAGATTAAGACTGAATACTATGCAGAGCAGTATTAGAAGAACTGAAGACAGGATGCTTGAAGGCACAAGACCTTGCAGAGCAGGAAAAAAGTACTACTAATCGGTCAGCAGTTTCCAATTTAAAGTTGTGTAAATCTTTATTTTCCTACCAAAGAACTGACTGTGCACTAAGTGAGAAGAAGGTGAAAAAGGTAAGCGAGGGGGATAGGGAGAGAGAGCTACTGGGTGAGAAACTTTCACTTGTCTGCTCACAATTATGGGGGATGGAAAATAGAGAAGGCAATTAATTATATGGAATAAATGAATTGGAGGGGCAGGAATGAATTGGAAAAAAGTGGCCAGCTATATGCCTGGAGAAGCTCCGAAGCAGGACATCAAGGCTTGGCCTTCCCCATTTGTCACTTAAACATGGGATTAGAAGTACAGCCTCTGTGTCTGAAAACTCAGGAGCCGTGGTTGAGTCTTCAGCTGCAAATAATCTGTTGTTCAAAGAGACGTAGTTATACAATAGATCTGAATTTGTCGTTATGTATGTGCAAACAGGGGAAGAGCTTCTTGGATACATATTACGGCTTGGCTAAAAATGTTACATCAGGCAGTAGCTTGCTGAAAAGGGAAAATTATTTTGCATGTAGTGAATTTGGTAACTCCCAGGTCAAATCTTCCAACAGATAATTTGTAAGAAGGTTAATTGCAAAGGTAAGAGCAGTGGTTCCCAAGCTTTTTCAGTCCACCGCCCCCTTGGTGCTACAAACTCATCCTTAGTGTCCCCCACCCAGGAGTGGGATTCAAATTTCTTAACAACTGGTTCTGTGGGTGTGGCCTAATTTGTGGCTGTGGCTTGGTGGTCATGTGACTGGGTAGGTGCGGCCAGGTGGTCATGTGACTGGCAAACCAAATACCAAGTACCGCCCACTTTGGGAACAAACGGGTTAGAGGATATAGACTTATCTGATTATGACCTGGAGAAGAGGCAAATTTTAACTCACTCTTATACCTCGTATTAATTACTATTACCATAACCTGTTTAGCACCAAGCTCCTCCTCTGAAACATGTTTAACTCCTGATAACATATGCATGTCATCTATTTTTTTGGCATAGAATATAGAAATAGTTTGTGATTCCTTCTTCTGGGTTGTTCTGACTTTCTACTGTAGCCTACAGCCCTGCTACTTCGTGGTGGTCCCCTATCCAAGTACTAACTAGATGTGTTTCTGCTTAGCTTTTTGAGGTCACAAAAAACTGCTGCTGTTGCTGCTACTTAACAAGCCAGAGACTCCTATCTGAAGTCCTCATCTAAAGACAAATAGCCATAAGAAGAGAGAAAAAACGTAAACTGCATTAAATAGATTCAGAAACGTATCAGTGAGTTAATATTTGTTGAAAGTATCTTCACATTTTTTTCTTATTAATTCTTGTTAAAACCTATTGGAAAAAGTCTTTTGAATAATAAAATCTAGAGTCGGTAGATTTGGAGCTGTTTACTGGAAGTTCCTACTACAACCAATCAAATGGCAACAGCTATTCTTTTTTCACCTCAATAAATGTGAATTACTAGTGGCTGAGATATCTTTTGTAGCATATTGGTGGTCACAAAATGGGGAAAAACATATCAAGAAGCAGAAAACAGGAACAATATTTTAGGCAGGAACTAAATGGATTATTTACTAACTTTAATACAGTAATGTACAGTTCCAGTTATCAGTTCTATTTGCATTATTTAACAGGTGTCAGACACAAACTTGCTTAATTTTAAAAGCACAACTATTATGTATGTTTTTAATAGTCCGCACTTAAATTGTTACTCTTTCTGTTTCATTTTATTCATATTCCTACACACAAGAGGACACTCTTTCCATTTTTCTTCCAATAAATATTGAAAGGTTTCAGAATATTATTAGCCTTTCTAGACCTTTCCTCCTAATTTCAATGTTTTTAATTGTGTTGATAGCTATAGTTCTGACACAGTAAGTTGGAGTCAGTAGTTTAACTCACATTTTAATATGATCTTAGCAAATTTCAAACTTTCAGACTAATATCTGAATTAAAATATGACTTCTCCGCTTTTCTAATGGGTTTCTAATAGAAGTGCGCATGCAGTCATCTACATATTGGTACCTAGAAATGCTTCTCTATATGAACATATATACAAAAAGGCAACATATTGGGAAAAAGTACTTATGCATATATTGAGAGAAACATATAGTTAAACTTTAAAAGGCAACTGAAAAGTAGCATGAAATGCAGTAGCAAAGTACTAGTCAGTTCAAATAATGCAGTATGCTTCTTGAACTATCTGCACTGATTGCCACTTTATTTGGAAGGTCTAAGTTAAGTTACTGATATTAATCTTTAAAGCTTAGATGTCTTAAGACATCTGTTTGAAGGCCCACCTCATGTATTACAAACATGTCTGAGTGTTAAGATTTGTAAGAGAGAGAGACAGTCTTCTGAAGACGCTGCCACTGTCAAAGGTTTATTAATTAAACACATGGAAAAAAAGTCATTTGCTTTGTTTCAAGCTATAGAATGAGCTGCCTGTAGAATAGGAGGCAACAGGCATCTCTTTCAGGGTTTTAATTAATCTTAATATAAACACTGTTGTATTTATTTATTTAAACAATTTATATGGCTACCCATCTCACAGCAGTGATTCTGGGCAGCATACAATGAATTAACGCATCTTCCCCCAAATAGAATTAAAACAGCCTACGATCCACGTAACATAGGAAGTTGAGAAAAGACTGATTCCCAATTTATAAACAGGAAAAAAAAACCCAAGCAGTAAAGCCAATCAATCAGCAGAGCCCACTTAACTTCCTGGCCCAAATGTCTTAGGGACCAATCAGGTTTTTAGAGCCTTGCAAAAGACTAGTGTGCTTGGGGTCATCTATGTTCCATAGAGCAGACACTGTGACAGAGAAAGCACAACTCCTGGATCCACCAAAATTACACTGCTTGATAGCAGGGACTGGAAACTTGCCCAGCCTATTGGCTTTGGTGGGGTGAGCAGAAACAATAGGAGATGGGTAATCTCACAAGTAGGCTGGCCTGTGCTATGTGGGGTTTTATAGGTGATAATGAGCAATTTAAATTGCACCTGGAAGCTCACTTGAAGCCAATAAAGCTTGATGAAGTGCAGTTTTACAGAAGTGTATCACAAATGTTCCCAAGGCTGCTATATATTCTGGAGCAGTTTCTATTTTCAAATGTTCATCAAGGGTAGCCCCATTACAGTATATTAAAGGGGAGGTGGTAAAGGCATTGGTTACCATAAGGCTTTCCAATTTAGAAGTGGGTACAATTGGCCCTTGTGTTTAGGGGCTCCCAGTCATAGTTGCTACCTGTTCTTTGAACAAAAGTTGTGAACACAGGAAAACCCACAGGTTTTGCATTACTTGTGTCTTGGGGAGTGTAACCCCATTCAGAGTCAAACATGGAAAAAAAAGTCCACACATGCACTTCCCTTGGTCTTGCCAGATTTAATTGAAGCCCATTCTCCCACTCATCCAAACTCTCTAGCTTCCAGTCTTTGGGTAAGAACCACAGGAATATCAACCTCCTTGCACAGTGAGAAATGCCTCAATGAAATACAAGGAAATAAACATAAATCATAATGTGCAATAATGATAGTAAACATTTAACGGATCCTGTCATCTAAAATATCCTGATTACTACATGTTGGAATCCGAAATCTGTATCTGATCCCTACTGCATAGAGATTTCATATAATTGGAAAAGCAAAAATAAATATCTTTTAGGAATTTTGTTATCTTTTCCATTATCCATCAGATATTCCATTAATCCATCAAATGCACTGTTAGGTACAATTGCCTCTTCTGAATCAAGTTTGTACATCTGGCATTTCCCATTTTTGACCATTTTCTTACTAGCTTGTGAAATAAATACAATTGTTTGGTAGTGTGAACTTTCTTTTTTATATTGGAATATAAATTGATCATTTCCAGTCTCTTGGCCACTGCTGTGTTTTCCTTCCTTCCTTGCAGACAAGTAGCATGTTAACTGCCTAAGTTTTCAAACCATTCTGCTAGTATTTCATCAGCTCCTGCAGCTTTATTGTTAACAATATTTTTTAGGGCCCATTTAACTTCGCTTTCCAGAATGTCTGGTTCTAGTTCAATGA